TTGAACTCATGAACTGCGAGATCATGACCTGAGCCAAAGTCGGAGGCTCCACCAACTGAGCCACCCAGGTGCCCTGAAAGTTTCACTTGTTTAGAATCTCCACCTCACCATGCAGATAAAATCTTACATATGCCAATGTCCAAATAAATTAAGAAATAAGAGATACTTATACTGTCTTTCAAAGGACAGCTAACGGAAGAAAGTAATTATTGTTGATGGCATACCAACTCAACTATGTGCTCTGTGGTTGATGTTTTTATTATCTCACTGAATTCTCAAAGCAACCTTTACTCATTATACAGTAAGAGAAAACTGAGGCTCATAGTTGATTCAACCCCTCCTAGCCCCAAATGTCCCCACATTCCTTCACTACCAGGCCAGCTTAAAAAAAATCTCTTTTGATTCAGAACATTAATGCTTTCATTTTCAGTATTTTCCTTTATTAACTTCTGGTGAATTTTATTTCTTCCCAACAAATCCAAACCTTGTGGAACAAACAACTCTACTAGAGATTCTGACTCTTGTCTAGCAAACTATACTGTTTATGCTATAAAATAGTTCCAAAGTTCCAGTACTTGATAAGATGCTGAGAAAACAGAACTGATAAAACACTTCCCTCAAGGGGCACCTGGGTGGCTCAGTTGGTTAAAGCGTCTCACTCTTGATTTCAGCTCAGGTCAAGATCTCAAGGTTCGTGGGATCAAGGCCCACATTGTGGGCTAACAGCACAGAGCCTACTTGGAATTTTCCCCGCCCCTCCCTCACTCAGGCTTTCTCTATCTCTCTTTCTTTCTCAAAAGTAAATAAATAAACCAAAAAAAAACTCCCTCAAGGAAATTCTAGTTACCTAAAGGTTAGGCTAAAAATAATGAGCTATGTGGATCAAGTTCCCTGTAAAATCCTATAGCTGTAGCTACATAATGCCCCAGAGATCAGAACACAGAAGCTAATGGAATATATGTGAATTCTAACACAAACAGAACAAATACCTGGGTAACAGAGATCTGTGCTGGCCTGAGAAACAAAAAGGATAAAGTTACCTTTTTTATATGTCCCATCCACTCCTTTGCCCATCTTATCCTTGCTGCTCACATCACCCTCCATATAGGGAAAGACTCGAGCCTGGTGTGTCCACAGATAGTCATTAGACCCAAAGAATAACACAGGGAACTCGCCAACATCATGTCTCATCTTATCAATATTGGAAGGTACAGCTCGAGGATGGCAGATCTCAGCTGGCCACCACCTGGGAAAGGTGAAAACAAGCAAGGAAACCTTTAGAAGGCTGCAGAATAATTAGGGAAACAAGCTACTTTTTAGGACAGGAATAAGGAATAACAAGGTCTATCCACATTAAAGTCCAACCTAGCCATTTTTACAATCTAACTAGAGAACAAACAAGTAGTATGTGCTGAAAACGCCCACCTTCATAGATATACTCACATATAAAGTTAGATTCAGTTATTCTAGTTTAAAGAATCTATAAAAGGAAACAATAATTTAACAAAATAATAATTATCACATAGATATGAACAAAGCTTTTGACTATAATGTTCACTGAAGAATTATCTTTAAGAATGAAAACCTGGACAGCAATCTAAATGTTCAACAATAAGGGAATGAATGATAAGGTAACTATGGCACATGATACAATGAAATACAATTTGGCTTTTAAAAAACTGTTAGGCATATAGAAAAATGGCACCAAGAAATGCCCCTAAAATAAAATAATAAAATAATAAAATAAAATAAAATAAAAGTAAATTAATACTTTACATGTCCACTTTAGGAAGACAATTTGGCATTAGTTATTTAAGGTGGAAACCCCTATCCAAGAAAAACTCCTGTGCATGTACACTAAGGAACACTGACAAACTGCTCCAAACAGGAAAATGGATAAATTAACTACACTATATCGGAAGTCTATATGAAAAAGAAATGGAGAATGGCAAAGTATGAACTAGAGCACTACACTAACCACTATAAATCTCAGAAGCATAACAGTGAATGAAAAAAGCAAGTAGCAGGAAAATATAGCATCAATTCCTTTACATAAAGGTCTAAAACATGCAAAACAAAACATTATACATGTGTAAACATATAGTAACGCAAAGGAATAAAAAACACAAAATGTTGTATAGTCGTTACTGCTAGGAGTGGGGCAACAGTATATTCAGAAAGGGTCATGGAGGGAGCCTCAAGTACCAGCAATATGCTATTTCTTTAAATGGGAGGAACATACATAGGTATGTACTTATGTATGTATGTATCAGAAAGGTAAATTTCTGATTCTCTTAAATCATGCATGTTATGATATTCTTCTGTATATTCCATGATCAACAAAAATAATTAAAAAAAAGAAAAGACACAAAACTGGGTATAAACCATAAGGCTAATTATTTTGAGGGAACATGCATTGGTGTGTCTTCAAGTAAATATGCTAAAATATTAGCAATGTATCTTCCTTGTTATGGGTTTGTTTTCATTCATGAATTTTCCACAGAATATGTATTATTCCTATAATCACAAAACAGAAAATGAGTTTTTTTCTTTTATAATGAAAAAATTAATGGGGGGGTGCACCTTGCTTAATCAGAAAAATTTTTTTTAAAAATTAAAGAAAAAAAATGCTAAACACTGTAATTTAAGATCCCAAGAAACAGAGGATGGTAAAAGAAAAGAGTGTCAGTCTCCTTCATGCTCACTCACCTGTATCGTCCAACTTTTACCCAGACAATTTCCCTGTAATGGGGCTTTTTGCCTGCCTTACAATCATTGCAATACCAGTTTCCTTCAGGGATATCAATGTTCAGGCATTCACGATGAAAAGCAGCAGGGCAAGAATCACAGCACAGAAGGCTGCCTCCTGTGGGAATCAAAAAATCTGGCACTCAGAATCACAAGACCACATATCATGACCCAGATCAAATAGCTTTTGCTCCTAACCATTTATCTCTCAGCTAAGGACTTAGTAATTTATCCAGAAAGGATTTTCTACAAGAGCATTTATTCCCTCTCCAATATTCCTGTGAACCACAACCTTGGGGGTTTGTTAGATTCACAACAAATAAATATGAGATCTTACTGGCAAAATGAGGTTAGGGCAATGAGGTCAGAAATCAACCTCTAGGGTGCCTGGGTGGCTCAGTCGGTTGAGCAGCCGACTTTGGCTCAGGTCATGATCTCACGGTTCATGACTTTGAGACCCATGTTGGGCTCTGTGCTGACGGCCTGGAGCCTGCTTCGGATTATGTGTCTCCCTCTCTCTCTACCCCTCCCTTGCTCATGCTCTGTCTTTCTCAAAAATAAACATTTAAAAAAAAGTTTAAAAAAATCAACTTCTAAAAATATATACATGCACACATATTTATTTCTTTCTCTTCACACACCAGAGACACACCAAATAAAAAGGATACCAGGGACACACAATGACCAGAGTATGAAGAGCACAAATTTTAAGTGATGTCAATTTTGAGCACCAAGATCATATGACCATAGGGAATTCACTTTTCTTGCTAAGGTATCATTTCCTCAGTGATGTTTTCCACAATCACATCTATTTGAAGACTAGATAAGTGAAAAAATGGCCCAGTAGTGTCTGACACATACACAGTCTCCATATGGTCAGTTCCTTCCCTCTTTTGAAATTACTCTTTAATCATTTTTATGTTTGGTACTCTGACACCTATGGGCTCTTTTCAGAGTAACATTTATAAATGCATAAACCTAACATATAGATTGGAAAGACAATGTTACATTAAGATATAATTATCAAAATGTTAGAACAAGAAATTATATGTTTCTTTGTAATGCAAAAATAAGATCTAGCAGTAGCAATGACTGCAAAATACTTTAAGATATCTACAACAGGGGCGCCTGGGTGGCTCAGTCGGTTAAGCGTCCGACTTCAGCTCAGGTCACGATCTCGCGGTCTGTGAGTTCGAGCCCCGCGTCGGGCTCTGGGCTGATGGCTCAGAGCCTGGGGCCTGCTTCCGATTCTGTGTCTCCCTCTCTCTCTGCCCCTCCCCTGTTCATGATCTGTCTCTCTCTCTCTCAAAAATAAATAAAAAAAAAAAAAAAAAAAAAAA